ACTTTCTAGTCAACCCCTGTAACCTCTACATAATCCACGTTTATATTGCATTGTCCATGTTCTTTTCCATGTGATTTTCCATTCCTGGGGGGGGGCTGGGGTGTCGACACAGGGACTCAGATGAGCTACAGTAGTGTCCCCTTTCATAAGCCCTTATAACCCCCCTTTAAGGAGTTTAAACCCTAGGCCCTAAACCCTATACCCTAAACCCTAAACCCTAAAACCCTAAACCCTAAACTTTCTAGTAGTCCCCTATTTAATCCCCTTTAAGGAGTAGGAGTTTTAGACTATGGCTCAGCTCCAGCCATAGTTTTCGACCCAGTCTCGCCGCCTGTCACAAACCTAAAAGGGTTTAGGGCTTCATGGTTTAGGGTTTAGAGGTTTAGGGATTTAGGGTTTAGAGATTTAGGGTCTAGGGATTTAGGGCTTAAGGATTTAATCTAGGGTTTAGGGACAATTGCTTGAAAAAAGCGTCTCGGTCTAACCTTGAAAGCCCCTCCCCCATAGTATCTATAGCCTTGCTGGGGATTAGTAGGGAACAAGGGAATACATTATATAGGGATTCTGTAGGGACCGCATTCCACTAGCATTCCCTACTAACCACCAGTAAGTATAGCAAACCTTCCACACAAAGATCTCAAAGGAAGGTCTGGTGTAACATACTAGATTGGAAGAAGTGTCACCATACAGGCTAGGCATTGCAAACCTGCGGCCAGCAGCTCAGCATGAAATCCGCGTCAGGGAAAACTACAGGTATTTTTGACAAGGGAAGGACCCGTAGAAACGCAGACCTACCGCGTGTGAGGTTTCCTGGCCAAATTGTTGCAACTGAGATCCCGGCTCTAGTAGGTCTCTAACTTCGGGTTTTCGCGAGTCCTGGCACCAAGGGCCCTTGGGCAGCAAGACCCAAAGAAGCTTGGGGCTTGGTGAGGTCTAACATAGATTTAGGGTTGAGGGTCGTAACAAAAGGGTTCGCTCTATGATAGCATCAGAAACCCTAAGCCCTAAACCCTTAAACCCTAAACCTATCCCAAACACTACTCCTCAAACTCTTCTACCTAAACCTAATCCCTAAACCCTCAACCCTTATCCCTATACCCTAATCCCTAAACCCTGATCCCGAAACCCTGAACCCTAAGCTGTAAACCCTAAACCCTAATCCCAATTTAACCCTAGGCCTGCAGCCTGGGATGTCCAAAAAACCTGAACCAGAATAGTGATGTCAATTTCATATATACTATTACAGAGTATACCCCTTGTTATGGAAACCATCAAAGAATACCACTAGTTTTGCGCAACCATAATCTCTACATAATTTCATGCTCTATCGTGTTTTCTACGTTCTTCTCCAATATTGGGCGAATATCCCTAGGCCCGCCAATAACGCGCATACAACCCTCTTCAACTTTCTGGGACAGAGCGAAACCAGAAGAATGAACTTCGAGTGACGCCGGTCCTGCAGGAAGTACATCAGCTTCCCGTAGGAGTCGCGCATGCGCTCGGGGTTCAAGATTTTGTATCGTCGCCCTGTAGCAGAAAGGAAATCAGTCCATTACCCGCATTGCCACCATCATCGTCATCATCAGCATCACCGCCACAGTCATCATGAGCATACATGCTTGAAAGGCAAGCTGGGGCTTTGCTACCTCCGAAGCAAAGTCAAGTGGAACTCTAAAGCCCTTACAGATAAACAATCCTGGCCCTGTAGAGTTTGCGGTTGGGATGCCTTCCGCTAAACGTTCAAGAAAAGATGTGGAAGGCAAACAAAGTCAATTCAAAGGGGGTGTGCCAGGGAATGGGCAGCTGCCACTGCAGCAACCTGAACAGTTGGAATAATCGAGAGAGTTCCTGCAGTCTCTGATTTACTTTTAGTATGATGTGATGCCAGAACTCTGTTGGACATCCTAGGGGGAACAAGCCTGGCATGAGCACGACAATCTGCAAGTGCAAGCCTGCAAAACAACAGTACCCAGACCCTAGGGATCCAAATAGCTCAGTGTATAAGGTAATATTTACAGACTTTAGGGCCCAATGTAGGTATCAGTTGTATACTTGGATCCCTAGAGCGATGCATTGCACGGCATGGTACCCGCCGTCTGGCCCCAGCCTGCGCTTAGGTACCCAGGCCAAAGCCCTAAATCCCAAACCTAGGTTTAAGGTTTACCTGAATACCAAAGGTATGTAACATAATTGCCTCTTGTGCCGTGTTTAATGATTGTTGGCTATAATTTTACCGACTTTTGGGGCCCAAGTAGGGTTTAGGAAAACACCTTGCATGAGCTCCATAATCTAAGCTCCTAGCATTCCTCTTCCCAACCCTTAAAAAACTCCCCCATATACTCCCCTTTTGGCCACCTTTAAGGGGATTCAGACTCTAGCTCACATCCCGCGAACCAATGGACCCTGAGAGCGGGGCCGATTTCCATCACTGTTTGGAAGAAGGCCGACCTGGCGAAAGAAAGGGTTTAGTGTTTGGGGTGGCTGCAAAGTTTAGGGTTGAAGGTTTAGTGCTTGGGGGAAGGGATATGGGCCTAGGGTTTAGGTTTATGGGGGTCTCCATAGATGGGTCCCCAAATAGGGACCCAATACACTACAATCCTTACTCTAGGAACTGCCAAGAAGGGGCCTCTAATTTTTGGAAACGCCCATCTGTTCAGGTTGAGACTGACAATTATTCTAAAGAGCGCCGAGAATACAGTGATGTAGGTTGAATTGCTTTGAGTCATCCCTGCCCAAAGGGCTATTCGGTGCGCCTCAGATCTCGCACGCAGCCGACGCAAAATCGATTCTTCTCAAGAAGCCAAAGCTGATCCGATAGGATCGCCTTACCCAACAGGCCCTGGCTACAAATATCAACGATCCTTAGAAGGCTTCCTACCACAACAATGGCTCTGGGTAACTGTTCCTGACTCTGGCAGTCTGCCCTTGGCTGCTTGCCCCGTTTACTAGACAACTAAAGCAGCAAGCATACCGAAAGCCTGAAGCCCTCGAAGCTTAATCCCCAACCCCCAAGCCCTGAATCACCCCCAAAATGGCAGCCTCATGTTCTTTTGCGTTCATCCGCTCCACCCTTAAACCGCCCACAATCCCTACATATCCCGCCAATATAATCCCTGTAACCCCGATGCAGATCGCCTCAAACCCAAACCTGAGGCAAAGAGCCCCAAACCCCAGGCCCTAAACCCTCGAGGTTTACGGCTCAGGGTCCTACAATCCAGGTCGCAAACCAAACGCCCAAAACGCTCTACACCATTTCAGGTGAACAAAAGCCACGCCTGGTGCTGAATTCCCTGTTCTGCAAAAGCTGCTGGCCCTGCTCATAGTTGTGCGAGACCTCCAGGTGATTGGGGGGGTTCTCGAAAACGGGGGGCATGCAGGATTTGGTAGTATCAACCCCTAGGAGTCCAAGTACCCATAACAAGGTTCCCATTGAAGGGATTTATAAGGGTATTTAGGGATACATAGGGATATTTAGGGTTTAGAGGTTTTAGGGTCCAAGTATGTAATAATCAGATACTTGGGGGTTTTGGTGATAGTAATTGTAGCACAGGTGTTGGGTGGTACTCGGACGCTTCTGGGAACAGTATCTTTTCGGGCTATAGGATGCGCAACGGCGACTCGCGGGCGACTTCGTGTTGTGTCCCTGTTGTACCACAACCCAATTTGAGTTGCCAAAAATCATTAGGGTTTAGTTGTTTTTGTCGGACCTTTTCTTCACCGGCAGGGTTTAGGGTTCAGGGGTTATGTGTATATCATAGCCTTTCAATGACCCCTCACTACTGTACTATGCTATTGGGGGTTTACGTAGGTGCTGCTGTAGGGAACATCCTGGGCGCCCTACTAACAGCCAGTCAGCAACATGCCCACTCCGGCAAAGCCTGTAAAGAGATCCCCCACATCTGTGAAAGAAAAAAGCTTGCCAACTCAGTGCCAAGACCCTGTAAACTCTAAACCCTGAACCTTAAACCCTAAAGTCTAAACCCAAAATCGTAAATCCTTGAGCCCTCGAACCCAAAATCCTGAACCTTAAACCCTAACAGAATACATCTCCACACAACTGACTCTCCTCCTCCCTACCCAAGACTGAAACAGAGCCTCCTAAAACCTTTTACAAGGAACCTTGGGATCTACCACAAGTCTTACACCGGAATTCTGGACCCTTTAGTGTAACCTCATATTCTTGGGGACCACTTATACCAGTCCACACGCTAAAAACACCCTACAAACCAGCGTGCCCTTTACAGCGGCCGATCGCAAGGACCTCAACCCTCAATCCCTAAACCCTAAACTTCCTGGCAACTAGTAGGAATGAGGGAATTGAAGCCCTATATAATCTCTACATAACATATTCTCTTATTCCCTACTGGCCCTACTAACCCCCGGTATGTAAGCCCTCAGAACTAAACTCGAAATTCAGGTGGTGGGCCTGCATCCCTGTGAGGACAGCACAGAGCTGCTTCATCTGGAGCCTCATTGGCTAAGCTTATATGGGTGGTTGTCAAAATTATGGTTCCTTTTTTGATCCTTATTATACTACGGCACTTAATATTCAGGATACCCCAAAAGGGACCATAATTTTGACAACCACCCATATAGGGGTATGGGGTTTAGGGTGGTAATGCATTTTTTGAATGGATTTTTTAAAATATATGAGGATTCCATGAAAGTATTCAAGATTCTATGGGAGTATTCAGGGTACATGGGAATTCTATGGGAACGGGCTTTTAAGGCGTCTTGAATGAAAACAATGGAGAATCAAATGGACAAGATCCTGAAAAAACATGTGGAAGCTGGCTTTCTAGTGGGGTTGATGGGGTTTGTAGTGGAGAGTGCTACTTGGTTACGTCGAAGTTTGGTATTCAGCACTTGGTACTCAACTGTGCTAGACTTGTGACACAGAAAAAGCCCTGAATTTCGTAGCTGTGGAACAGAGCCCTGCATAAACATGATAACACCTCCTTGATTGGACCCTAGGTCCTAAAATGGGCGCTCTGATTTTCGTTCTTTGCCGGCTCTAAGCTGGCGAGCGCCGCCAGCACGTTCGCGTCCGTTGAAGCGGAGATGCTCAGCGTGGCGCTGGCTTTGGGACCCAGCTCCTTGGGATTTCGGGCTTAGGGTTTAGGGGAGCTTAATGAAGCTTAAGAACGGTTGCCAGAGGGGAGTTCTTGAGGAAGAGTTTGCAGACGGCATGCTGTGCCGAACCCGTCTGCTGCTGCTGCAACCATCACTGCAACCAGCAGTGCCACGAACACACTACGGAAACTTCTCCGCCGAGGCACAGCAGGCGCAGTCCCCGGCCTGCCAGAGATCACTTGTTAGCATGAGTACAGGTCCGATCTCTGCCTGAACTGCTCTCCCTGAACCCCCAATGCCCCCAGCTTGGACCCTAAAACCAATCTACCTTCGCGCCCAGCCCTCAGCAAAAGTCTTGTGGGTCAACCCCGCAGACCATCGCCATACGTAAGCCGCAACGCATGGTACTCATGCTGAAGGATGACTGCATGGTGGGGGGGGGGGACGGTGAAACGAGCTTCAGGGATCCTTGGCACGATGCCCTGCCTGGCCCCTTACACTCTCTCTCTTCTTCTTCTTCTTCTTCTATGGGCTCTGCGCGCTCTCACGAGCACGCTGGGGCGAGGCCCCTAGCCCGCACAAGTTCACGTCTGGTCGGTACTTGCGAGGCCAGGCTCGGACTGGCGACCATTATGAGTTCCCATCACCTCTCTCTCTCTCTCTCTCTCTCTCTCTGAAATGTATGCATCTCCGAAAATTCCTGAAAGTCTTTGGATGCCTGTTGCACGCGACAGCATCTGTCCTGTGTGAATTCATGATACGGAAATGCTGTCACTCAGTCATTGTCATATTTTCATACTTTATAAACAATGACAGTACATGTTCATAGTTGGCTTTGGCAACTATCATGACTTGCAATAACAACACACATCAGAGTCAAGTCCACTACCAAGGCCTTGTTGCTTCAGCTTCGAACCACCGCTGCAGCCCCGCCGCCGCCATGCGACGTTGGTCCCTACCAGTGGGAGTAGAAATAGATTTGGCAGGAGTGGCTGGTACTAGAAGAGTGAAAATGGAAATGGTTATAGCAAAAACACTAACAGCAATAACACCAATAATACAGTAATAACGATGCTGTCTGTGGGTAGGGGATGCTTGATGCGAACTCTGCATCTTTGCTTCTGAAGGCTTTGAATAAAGTTGAATAAAGAAGACGAGGCATGGTGCGCGTTGGCATCATGCAGCAGCTCCGACTGTGGTATCGACTGAAGTATGTACGAACGTGTATGTTGCCATCTTGTAGTCGCGAAATTAGTATGCACTACATAAACCATGTACTATGACATATACCACACTCTCCGCAAAGATAGGCATTGTACTACGAACATGTCTGAGTACCATCACATGTGATACAGTGCAGTCAGCACTTCGTAACCTACTGGCTGAGTTCCCTGCCCTCCACAGCCTAAACTTTCCCACTATACCAGGATTGTACATGCCCAACAATGTTTGCGGTGTAGGGTTTAGGGTTTAGGGTTGCAAGCACCCTTCTCAGACAAAAATAGAGAGAGTATGCTGTCTACTAGATGGTAGGTTGTCAGAATCATGGTCACGTTTCGGGTCGCCTCTCTTACAAGGCCTGTTGAGGGTCTCCAAACTACAATGATTTTGACAACCCCTACAGCCTACAGTAGACCCAAAACCCAACCTGGCATACCATTCAGTAGTTTCCATTTGCTGCCTCTTGATATCATGATACTCTGAAACAGGACATTCAACAACCTAGACTCTAGACCTTCCTTCTAGATGTCCCCAATTTAAGGAGGGTCTTGGTACCTACATCCCGAATCCCCGTGTCCATTTCAAATATCATCCTCTTTCCATTTGATCTTCCATTATGCCCATATATTCCTAAACCCTGAACTCTACACCCTAAGCCCCAAACCCTAAACCTCAATATCTTTGGTAGATCAACATCCCGAGAGCTGCATGCTGGCCCTTCCCGCCTCTGCTCGATGTAGGATCTCCTAAGGCTCCCAGCAGAGCCCTGCCTCTTCTCCTGCCAGAAGGGTACAGGTTGGGTACTGCCCCCCACCCAGTAACAGTCTATATTAGGGGTCCCATTACGGGCTATATAGAACCATATTAGAATTATGATCCAACTGTTACTGAGGGGGGGCAGTACCCAAGGTACAGGGTTGGTACCTTAGGAGGTGAATTGCAGAAAAAGATGGAAAACAATTTCTTCACACATGTCCTCAGGGTTCCCAGGGGTATATGTCCCTCGTTTAAAAACTGCTGAAGAACTCTGCATCATGGGCCACGTTGAAGTCGGACGAATCGCACCAGAAGCATGAGAAACCAGCCCAAACAAGCCCAAAACCCTAAACCCTAAAGCCTATACTATAGTAATTTCCACGTGATTTTCTTTTCCATTATCACAAACTTTCCATGACACTCCTTGAACCATGGCCCAGAACATGAACCTTCTGTTTGATGCCTGTAAAGCGATGCCGGGCGTAATAAGATCTTCGCAACGTCGTAACGTGAGGAGTCTAGGCTTTCATTGGCAAGACACGCAGGCCATCTCTCTCTCTCTCTCTCTCCCTTCTCTCTCCCTTCCTCCTACAAAACTGACTGAATCCATCGCTTCTGAGCGTGCGACATCAGATGTTCTGTATGTAAAAACTGCATAGACTGCAATGGCGGATGTAGCTGCTGTGGATACATGAGGGTATTTACATCCCCTATATGACCCCTATACATCCCCTATACATGCCCAGTGTGACCGCAACATATCCCTCATATAATCCCCTATACAATCCCTATGTATCCCCCCTATGAACCCCATATGGAACCTATTTGATCTTTATCGACCCCCCAATATCCCTATCTATCCCCTATGTAATCACTAAATTTCCCCTATATAACCCTACATATTCCCCATATTCTAACCCTACACATCCCCTCTATGATCCCTATACATCCCTAATGTAACCTTACATATTCCCTATATGGCCGCTATACCTCGTAGTGCCCCGTGGCCTCGTCGTGGAGAGCACGAAGGCCAGGTAGCAGCTCCGGAACCTCGGCTTGCCAGGTGGCCATAAGAGGGGTTAATAGGGGGTTTAAGGTTTGGGGTTTAAGGTTTAGGGCTTTGGGGTTTAGGGTTATAGGGGTTTTGGAGTTTAGGGGCTTAGAGGTACTGAGCGGTTGTTAGATAGGGTTTAGGGATTAGGTCCTTTTTGGCGTCCCCATTGTCATGCGGCCCCCAATATATATGTTACCAAAAGAAGAAAATCTTGACAACCGCCCGTAGGAGGACTGCAAGAGGATCGTGATCCCAATGGTATGGGCTTCGACAGTATGCATAGTTTCGAGATACTGTAGACCCATGATTAGTAACCTCCCTCCCTTTAAAGGCCTTAATATTAAGATCCCTATCACAATCCCTACTAAGGGGAGGGGTGTAGTAACCAGGGGTCTACATTACCCCGTATGACCAGTCAATGCTACTCATGTCAAGGAAGCGGTCGTGCCATGGTTCCTGTTGTCCCAGTGGTTTGCTGCTTGATATGGGTAGTTGCCAAAATTAGGGTCCCATTTTGGTACCCCTAATATTAGGTGCCGAAAATATACTCTATAACCACAAGCGGGGAACTACCCACATGAAGAGCATGCAAAGCTTCTAGCAAGGCAAAGTGTGACAATCCCAACTACCTACGACCTTTTTCGCCACTAGCCATCCCACAGTATTACATTTGTTCTACAAAGGGTTCCTCGCATCCTTACGACTCAAACAACACCCGAGAGCGAGGGGCTGCTGATTTTCAGACAGTCCGACCAAACAGCCTTCCCATCGACACCACAGCATGTGAAAGCCTCAAGAATTACCCTAAACCCTAAATCCCTAAAAGCACTGACATAGCAATAGTAATCCCAGCATCAGATACTCCCAAACCCAATTCTGGTCTTTTTAGCCTTACATCACCTTCCTGGTGCCTGGTTTGAAAGAGCAGACCCATCTCTGCACTTTCTGCACGGTAGATCCCTGGCTCCTCTTTTTGCTGAACACCTCCCAAAATCAATGCGGCTGTGATATATAATAGCAATCTACGGGGCAGATTTGGTATGAAAGGGTTGGGGAAGGTTAGTGGGTAGTTCCCAAAATTGGGGTCCCACGTTGGTACCCCTAAATATTCGGTGTGCCGTAACACAATCTAGAACCAACATGGGACCCTAACTTTGGGAACTACCGTGAAAAAAGAGGCAGAAAGAGTCCGAGCAACGCGAGTTCCCCGGAGCAGGCTCAGGAACTGCTCTCGTGCAAGCCTCGAGGCTTTGGGTTTTAAAGCCCTGAGGTTCCAGGGACTAGGGTAGGTTTAGAGGCCCTATGCAAATTATTGTTTATGGCATTAAGTATAAGGATGATATAAGGATTAAGGGTAAAAACAAATCGAGATTATGTTCAAACCTACCCCTGGTCAATGGACCCCTAAACCCTAGACCCTAAACGCCAAACCCTATGGGGGAAGGTTTGGGTTTGGAGGGCTAAGGTTCGGGATCTTATTGTGGGGCTCGAAGAGTAGTGAGGGTTCGGGGCTGCATGGGGCTACAGTTCTTATGAAGCTTCGGCCAGACCATAGGTTTGTGGTTGAAGGTTTAGGGTTTAGGGTACTGTGTATGGGGCTTAGCATTAGGGTTTAGGGTATGGTGCCAAGCAAGGAAGGGGGGATAGACTACAACGAAGAAGGAAGAATACGCATGAAAGGAAATGCATCTGTTTCCACTGGCTCAAGGCATGCCGCAGCGCACCAAACCCACTGGTTTCCGCAACTGTGCACGCGCCCCAGCGCATGAAAGGCAAACCCGCTACTTAGTACTTAGTTGAGCTGTTGCGAGAGCCTTTTGCCGCAACTCCTAGCTGTAACTTCAGTTACCTAAAAGCTAGTCATGATTACCCCCGAGTTAAAATGTATGACCATACTGTAAAACTGTAGGTAGTGGGGGTTGCAATTAACAAAGCCAAGAGTCGAGGAGACCCATGCTGAGAAACCTCGTGATCCTGCAGGGCACACAACCAAGTAGGAACTTGCTCTACAAATTGTGTCAGCCGGGATTCGGGCCCAAATATACTTTGAGCGATGGAGAACCTAGACAGGGGCATACCAAAAGCTGACTGACTAATCATGCAGTAAGGGTTGATAGCCCTGCTGCAGTCAACGGCTTGCACGGCAAAGGCGGTGGTGGCCTACCAGCATCATAGCCACAAGTTGAGTCATACAATCTGACCCTTAAACAAACTCCTAAATCTTTGACATAAAGAGCCCTAAATCCTCAGTGTTGAAGACCTTTCGCATGCTGCTTCACTTGCCCATATCACAATCCAATTTTCATTGGCTTTTCAAGTCCCTGTAGAAGACCAACCCTAAACCCTAAACCCTACAGTTATCCCTATATAACCCCATATCACCCTGTATAACCGCATATATGACCCCCATATAGCCCTATATCCTCCTATGTAACCCTATATATTATATCAAAGTAATCCCATATTACCTTACCGTTCTTCCATAAACTCACCATAAACCCTAAACCATAAATGCATAAACCCTAAACCCTAAACCCTAAATTCATAAACCGGAAACCCTCAACCCTAAATTCATAAACCCTAAACCCTCAACCCTAAATTCATCAACCCTAAACCCTCAACCCTAAATTCATAAACCCTAAACCCTAAATTCATAAGCCCTAAGCCCTAAACCCTAAATTCATAAGCCCTGAACCGCTTCAAGGCGAAGCCCTGCCGCTCCTCCGCGCTGTTCACTGCGAACTCGGCGGAGCCTCAGAGCCACGGTTGCTTAAGTGGTTTACCAAGGGCTTAGGGTTTAGGGTTGTTTTTACAACCCCTCGGACTTTTGATGCCTGCCAAATCGACACATTTAGGGGTTTAGGGTTTAGGGTTTTAGGGTTTAGAGTTTAGGGATTTAATCTTGGGATCACAGAGGGTTTATCTAGGGATTAAATAAGGTGCCTAGTACACAGGCTACCGAACCTAAGCAATTGCAAGATTTCCTCCAGGCAAAATACCTAGAGCCCTTGTGAGTCTCTTTGTGAAAAGCTTTGGCCAGGTAGGGGCGTCTATAAAGAAGAGGCCCAAATATGGAGTTCGCAAAGTTAAGGGTCCCCTTTTTGGTGGGGTACGCAAAACGGATCATTGTATATTGGGGTCGATCTTGGGATCCTTATGGAAATTACCATATAAAACTAAATACGCTATCATCAGGAAAGAGCCCTTAAACCCTATGAATCCTAAACCCCTAAGCCCCTAAACCCTATAAACCCTAAACCCGAAGCTACAGGTTGGGTGTGAGCTCTGGGCTGCTGCTTTGGCGACTCCGGCGAGGATTGCGCGCGATGCCTGCAAGACTCAAATTCCTTTCCTAAACGGAAGGGTGGGAGGAATTGCTTCCTCTGACCAATCCCTGCGTAGTCGTAGTGCCCAATAAACACCTCTATCCTCGGGTACTTGGACCCCATAGTATCTAGAATACAATATGAAACATAACATGATACTGCCAAACTATTCTACTACAATGTCGTGATAAACGTAGACTTCACCTAAATGCATACTCAGAGATGAGAGCCTCAGAAGGCGGTCGCTGGTGGCCATAACCACAGGGCGATGGGGGGCAAGTCGCCTCACCGATGGAGATGATAGCTGTGAGGCTGCTTGTACACAACCTAAGGGATGATGGAAAAGAAAATGGAAACTACCATAGTATTTTGGGGTAACATAAGGATAATCATATTAGGGTTTAGGGTTCAGGGGTCTAGGTGTTGGGAAGCAATAATGGTCATGATGATAATGATAGCGAGCTGCTGCTCAAAAAGACAAATGCAGCGCTTGATGAATAACAGCCCCTTGAGTTTACATGAGACATGCATCAGCACCTCTCAGCTTCCGAAACAGAACAAACTCCTGGTTTGGATGGGACCTTGTTATTTGATGCCTACTTGCCGCACTTCTTCACTCCGCTTCTTGCTGGCACCTCTGGCATGCTGCTGAATTTGAAGTTGTCCGAGGAATGCCTGCGTAAATCCCAAGGCTCTCCAGGACATTGGCCTTAAACCCTGTAATCAATCTCCACTTCATTCGCTGATCTAGCGCGGAGCTCCGGCACCTTGCCAGAAGGCACATCAAATCATCAGCGGTCCTGCGTTCAAACTCCAGCGATTCAGTTGGGTTCTAATACCATGGTATTACACTCTGGCCTGGAGGAGATTGCGCAGGGCTTCGCAAAGATCAGATCGTACTTGATGCAGTACAGATAGGGGTGACTTCAGTGATCTCTTCCGATTACATGAAGGGCCTCCCCCTGCGCCGAAGGGTCTGGGATGATTGCTAAGACACATGCTCACAACAGCTTTCAAGGAAGTTCCTATGAGTGGGGTACAAAGATAGCGAAACCTCCGCAAATAGGTATGTTGACCTTCCAGTAAAGACCCCTGGCACAGCGCCACTCCCTAAGCATGTCTAAGCATGAGCGGTTGTGTCAATTCCAATGTTCCACTCTCTTTTTTGTAGAGGCCCCCTAGCATGTGCTTTGGGGCCCGCTTGTCCAGGACCAGGGGCAATGATTGTGAGGCCCCCTATGCTGTGTTTTGATTTTTGCGGGCCCATCATTGGGGTTCCAGGGGATAAGGGGTGTGGGGGTTCAGGAGTAGCTGAGAAGAGCCCCTAAGGGTTTAGATATTCAGATAGGACATACCTGGGCTTCAAAACAACTATATACGAAAAGAGTCGGGTCCCAAGGGGGCCGCAAGAACATAGGAGGGATCCACAACTCTCCCTTTTAAATCAATCCACAGGGGCCTCAGAACCGTGGCACCCCCAACATTCAAGAGGTTCTAACACTCAGTGAGATCGCATCGGGAGAACGTGGATGCTGCCCAAGCGCCCAGGAACCTTTCGCTTAGAATCTCAATACTGTGTACCTGGACCCCCAAAGCCGGTAAAATAATGATCCAAAACCCTTCAACAGGCGATTCTTCTACATACTTTGCGGCCTCCAGGTACCCCTTAACACTTCAACCTGAACCCCTGGAATGCTGAGATCCGACCTTCGCGGCCCCGCGAAGGCTACACAGGCGCGGCCTACGGCGAAAGCCGCAGGATGCAGGCCGTGATCGAAAACCGCAACAACCTGCCCAGCAAGTGACTTTTTGGGTTTGGGGTTCAGGGTTTAAGTTTAGTTTAGGGTTGTAGGGTTTAAGGTTCCTACCTGATCCCCAAAAGTAGGTAAAATAATCGTACAAAATCACAAAAAACAACAGCCCAAAAAGCCAGAAAATACATACTGTTGGGGAAGAGCTGAAGCCTTGTAGCTCATGCAGTCCAAGGGGCAAAAATATCTTTCCAGTACATACTCTGAGTTGTCATTTTGCGAAGACATTTTTTGGGAGCCTAAGAATATTCTGTTTGATTACCTGCACCCTGGGGGAGCAGCAAAAAGATTCTTACGTGCGGTTTGGGAGCTAAATCTGAGGATCACATTCTATATATACGAAATATCATAATATCATGCCCAAATGGAGGAAATAATCTTACTGTATGTTGGGTACCATAGTATCCCCAAACAAAATAATACTCAAGTGACTTACGGGTTGGATGCTCCCAGGGCTGGGGCCTCCAGGGCAAATCAAAAGTCTCGGACGGCTTTGCCAAGAAACGAATTACTTTTTGTTCATCTGGCATGCCTTGCTTGCTGGCTTGGGGTGTTGAAGCTTTAGCTTTACGGGACTCACTCAGGCTTTTGGCCGGTGTTGTGCATGGTATGATCTTACTAGTATGATGAGGGAATGTTCGAAGGTCGAAGAAAACGAAAAGAAGGTGAACAAGGTTCGTGACATGAAGCTACCCTAAACCCTAAAACCTGCAACCTATCTGGGTCTTGCCGCTTCTGCTTGAGGCCTTACAAGCTCCTTAGGATCCCTAAGCCCTCTATGATAGGCGCCTTGTAGCCGCCATATAACTCCTGGCATTCCCCTTAATAAGCCCCATAATACTCCCCTGTATCATCCCGCATGGAACCACCCTTTAAGGAGTTTAGACTACAGCTCATAAAGGCCCCAAATAACCTGATGCAACCTTTTGCTATGTAACCCCTCCGCCACACCAAAACCAAAGAGGCTCCTGTAGTATACTTTAGAGGAATCCAAATGCGGGAGAGCTTTGCCACTGCTTGCACGCAGAGGCATCCTAAACCCTAAACCCTAAATCCTAAACCCAAAATCCTGAACCCTAAACCTTAAATCCTGAACCCTAAACC